AGTCGAATGCACTATTTGAAAGTTATTTTCCATTTTGCTTTGCTGAAAATCTATCTATCGCAAAAAGAGACCAAATCGGGTTTTTGGAAATCCTCCTCAAAATCTCCAAAACATTTTGAAATTTTTTGGCGATACCACGAGAAAACCCTAACTATATATACATAAAAAATTCAAGGTTCGCTACTGGTTTATACAGGCAAAAGTTTAGTGTTACTGGGTCCTAAAACCGCAAAAAAACGCAAATGTCGAGATTTGGCGCTCTATGATGCCTATATTTTCAAACTTTTTTAACTCGATTTACGCTAATCCCACGTATGGGTCATTCATTTGAAAAGGGTTCCAGCTTATGCGAATAAAGTCGATGTAAACGTGGTACGGACTCCATGGAAACACCCATTAGTAAGTTTTCACAATAAAATTCACATAATTTATCAACATTGTGTGTGTGTGTTTTCTCCATGAACAGCCAAACTGATGTCATGGATCTCTTCTTTTTGTACCGGTCTTATATTTATTTTTAACGTAATACTTTTTCCTCTTTTCGTCTTAGTAAATAAAGCTTATAATAACAATTTCTTCATCAGTGGAAAAAAAGTGATATTAAACACCCTAATGTAGAAAAAAGAAAAAAAAGAGTATAAAAAGTAAAAAGTAAAGTAAACTAAATAGTAAAAGATAAAAGAATAAAAGAGGCAATAAGAGATGATAATAATAATAATAACAGGTGATAATAATGATAATAAGATGACAGCTGTTTCGGGCTTAACCTTTTTCTAATGAGTGTAAGTGTAAGTATAGCGTATATATATAGGGTCGTGGTAATAAAGGAAGAGAGATTGAAAATATAAAATAAGTTATATATAACTGGCATGGACGTATATAGAAATAAACGAAATAAGAAGAAGAGTGATTTCTTTTCTTTTGCTTTGAACAAAGGATGAAAAGTGAATACGAAAAGAGAAGTCACAATAACCGTTTTATATTTTCTTCTTCTTGGTTAGACTTATTGAACAGTGTACAGAAAAATAGATTATTGAGTGCAACGGTGCGAGCGGTATATAAGGTTATTTTCTGTGGCATGTAGTAACAGTTGTATACTTGTACAGAATAAAATAAAAAACAAAAAAATATTTTCGTTAATCAGACGAAAAGGTTGATTTTATACTATAACAGTTGTCCATTAGAATTAATTCTTCGATTTTGATTGTTGGGTTTATTTAAGAAGACGGTGATACTAACGGTAGTGGCAGTGATAGTAGAGATTTATCGATTTAATACTGGTTGTAAGTGCTGTATCCAGAATAGTTCCCGATCTAATCGGTGCTGCTCGTTAATAAAGTTGGTTTCGATAGCTGTGATAATGAGGTCTTCGATACAGTGGTTTGGTAAATTGAAGTGAAGGGCGGTAAGTGGTTCTTCGTATTTCTCTTGGTGTATTGCAAGAATATGTCCGTTGAAGCGAACATATAGTTCTTGCATTATTGTGCCTACGTATTGACAATAGTAGCGACGACATGTGGTAAGATAAATGATGTTGGATGATTTACAGTTGAGTAGGTGATGAATTGAGAATAATCTGTTGTTTTTGGTGCTAATGAAAAATTGTGTTTCGATGACATGTGAACAGGTAGAACATCGATTTGCATTGCATTTGTAGAAGCCAGTGGGCGGTGGATGATGAACTGGTGGTATGGTGGAGAAGGACGCTGGATATTTTGAACGGACGAGTATTTTGTGAAGATTATTGGGTAGTGTGTAAACGAAACGATAAATATCTGGCACGATGATGTCGAATTCGTTTGAAAATAATTGTTGAAATGATGGTAATTGACAATTATATGGTAATATAATGTTTTTGTGTACGATTGGTGATGGGGTTGTGGATGTGGTATACGTTGGTGCTATTGAAAACATATTATTGAATGTTTTTTCAACTAATTCTAAACGATTTGAGTCACGATAGCGTAAAATTTTGTTCAGTAGGTTGAGTGGGTCGTGTTGACGAGCAAGTAAACGACAAAATAGGAGAAAATATTGTTCCCATCTTGTTGTAAGTGAAGAACAAATACGAGTAATACGATTAGATAGTGATAATGGTATATTTTGGATGATATGACGATGATGTGAGGATTCATAGTGCAGATATTGAAATGTGTTGGTTGGTTTTGTATAAAGAGTTGTTTCAAGACGATTCAGTAGATGATTAATAGTAATAGTAATGTCTAGATAACTGATGGATTTAGTGCTTTGTTCAAAATTATATTGAAGATGTTTGTTATTGTTGTTTAATGTTTCGATAAATGTTTTAATTAGGATGGATGATTTTGGTTGGACTTGAAAAAACCAAAATAAAAGAACGTCATCGAGAAAGCGAAATATATGGAGAAGATAACGAATAAATTGTTGAAAGATCGGGATTTCTTGCATAAAGACGTAAATGTTACTATATTCAGGAGCGCACGATGTGCCCATAGCTGTACCTTTACTTTGTTGATAAAAGAAACCTTTAAATGTAAAAGAATTGTTTTCAAGTACTGATTTTAATAATATTGCTAATGTAATGTTATCGAGTTTAAAATTGATTAAATTACAGTAATTTTGGATAAAATGTAACAGCGTTTGAATACCTTCGTCCTGAGGGATGTTGTGTACATTGAGGAGATATCGGCAGTTAGTAAGGTTAAGTTACGGAGATTAAGATGATTTTGGTGGACAACTTGATTAAAGCGGTCAATTTCCATTAATAAATGGTTCGTGTCTTTGAGAATAACATAATGTGGAATATTGTAGTTGGCAGAAGCGATATGTGATAATACTGGAATAAGTAGTGAAAGAATTTTGCTTAAATATTTTGATAGACGATGTGTTGCATGCTGAATGTTAGAAATAATTGGGCGACCCGGGCTTTGTGGTTTATGAATTTTTGGTAATATGTAGAAAACGCCTAAACCAGGGTATTTGGGAGTAGTGGATTTGTGCATTGTTTTGTTTATTTGTTTGTTGTTGAGTAATTGCTCAAGTTTAGATTTAACCAAATTAAATGTTTTTCGACTTGGATTGTAATCAAGCTGTTGATAATATTCGGTATTATTAAGTTGTTGTAATGATTTGCTTTCATAAACGTTAATATCAATAACAACTATTCCTACATTTTTATCGGCTGGTTTAATAACTATATCTAAGCGACGTCGAAGAGATTGTAATGCTTGGTAGTCAGTGACGGGAAGATATGGTATATAATTTTTACATCGGTAGAATATCGCATTTACAACTTCTTTTTGAGAGATACTGATGAATGGTAGAAGAAGAAGGAGACGATCGACGCTTTGCAAAAGGGATGGAGATGTCTGCAGGCGGTTGGTGGGAACGAATTTCAGCCCTTTGGATAAAAGATTAATTTCTGGTTGTGTAAGCTGAACCTTGTCAAGGGTATAGATCATGCCAGTGAGGTGATGAGCGTCGAGATTGGCGAGTGACAGATTATAGGTTGGTGGAAGAGCCAGAATTGATGAAGATGATAATTGTGTTATTGGTATGATTGACGATATCTTGTTCGTGGATATATAGGCCGAACGAGTTTTATGGATGATGGACGGGTAATTGTGTGGTGCTCTTAGGAGGAAGTGACGGTTTGCTAGAACGTGTATTGCATTGATGTTGATAATCATGTGATGACGGAATATGCAGTTGTCTAATATAATCGTCGATGATTGTAACAGGTTGTTGCTGTTGATGATTCATTGTAACTGTTGATCAACCATTTTAGAAGCAATATCGAATTTTGAAAAAAAAACACAGGGATTCAAACTCTTTGGAAAAAGCTTCCAGCTTGTGGATGAAAGATACTCCTGAAACAGATTTTAGTAAGAAAAGGTGCAATCCGATCGAACTTTCAGCATTTCTGCTAAGGCTTTGGCTCCATCGTCGGAAATTCCATTACCGCTTCGATCAATCGTTGTTAATGTTCTATTGACTTTAAGCATTTCTGCTAAGGCTTTGGCTCCATCGGCGGAAATTTCATTACACCTTAAATCAATCGTTGTTAATGTTCTATTGACTTTAAGCATTTCTGCTAAAGCTTTGGCTCCATCGGCGGAAATTCCATTACCGCTTAGATCAATCGTTGTTAATGTTCTATTGACTGTAAGCATTTCTGCTAAGGCTTTGGCTCCATCGTCGGAAATTCCATTACCGCTTAGATCAATCGTTGTTAACGTTCTGTTGACTGTAAGCATTTCTGCTAAGGCTTTGGCTCCATCGTCGGAAATTCGATTACTGTTTAAATCAATCGTTGTTAATTTGTAATCTGTTTCCAATAGTTCTATCATAGGCAGTATTGTTTCCGTTGTCATTTCAGTGGATTCTGCGCTGAAAATGGTGACTGTTTTATTGCACTTCAGCACTTTAGCGATGTTTTCGGTTGCGCGTTTTGTTGATGTAACGTGGTCAAGAGAAAGTTTTATTTCTTTGCCGTCGAGTACTTGATTAGAACCTTCTATCTGGATATTCAGAGAAAGTTTGTCATAGTCTCCCTTTAATAAATTCTGAAGCAGTTTTACGTCGTCATCTGTGATCTTTGCCCAGCAGTTTAATAGGATCTGGCATTGAATGTTAGAATAATCACATGTTGCTCTCAGTTTCCCTACTATTGTTAAAGCATCTCCTTTGTGGCCATCATAATAAATGAGCAAAGAACGTATCGGTGACAATTCGATTGTTTTAATCAAATAATCAGTATCATCTACACTCAACAAGTCGGCGTGTTTTATGATCAACGCATCGATATAAAACGCCTCACGAATCAGTTCACAGTATTGCCTCATAGTGCCACGTTTGAAGCTTTCTCCTATTTCCCCCTTGCTGCTTTTGACATCAAATGTGCCTCCTAAAGCCTCAAACTTTTCCTTAAATATTTTCAGCTTGTGACCATTATACAGATTCTCCGACCATAAATGCCTCTTTGTAATTAGCTTAACTTTATGTTGTAAGTGTTTAGTCAGTATTTCGTAAACGGGCACAATACTGTTATATTTAATTACACGCCATAATAGAACATTCGATATTGTTTCGGTCCATTTACCTGGATCGCGACTCAGTGTTGTATCACCACCGGTGGCTTCGTATACAATACATGATTTTTGATCGAGTTTATTGTTGTTTTCGAGTTTGCCATGACCTTTTCCTCCACTTACACCAGCTTCGACATTCAGATTTTGTAAGGATACTTTAAATCCGACCGATTTTGAATTTTTATAACTTTCCTCGTCAATGTCACTTTTCGTCGATTCTCTCTCTGTATGATAAAGCTGTGCACCAAGTGTGATCTCTCTTGCCATCATATGTCCGTACTTATCGAATACTCTGTGTAACGCTTCTAATTGTTCATTAGAAGGTTGAGAGAACACACATTCGACAGCATGTCGAAAATGTTCTGTTGGTTCCAAATAACTTTCATCTAATTTGACAATGACTCGAGGAAAATTGAACGTACACGTTGTATAAATAGTTTTCTCTTCTTTCGTCCGTGCTTCCTTCTCTTCTTTGTCGTACTTGAACGATGCAGAAAGAAACGGACACTGCAAGCTTGGTTCGAACTTTGCGAATTTACTTCGTATATATGAGTTACTACGCTCCGTATAGGCAAGGTGGGCTTCGATGTATGATGAATCACTGATCTTGAATTTTGGTAAGGCATCGTTTTTGAACTGAAGGATCGATTCAAAACTTGACTCTGGACCACGATCGGATAACAATAGACCTCGGCACAAGTCATTATTCTGGAACACCTGTTTCCATAAATTTATATCTAGCTGTGTTGCGTTTTGGATTTCTGTTGAGTGTGACGGTATCGTTCCAGGAATTGTTAGTTTATGTTCAGTTGTTTTCGATGATGTCGGGTAATTCAAATTAGTCGTGTTTTCGGGCACCATCTGCGATACATCAGGTAGAGCAAGAAGTTCTTTTCTCTCAAATTTCTTTTTTTGTATACTCTTTATCTTTACAATATTGTTCTCGGTTAGTAGCTCACTGATGGTTCTTTTTGACTCATCAGATATATGAATGGGAAAATCGTCAGAATCAAGAAACTGCTCTTCATCTTTTGAGAGTGGCCTTCGTTCATTTATTTTCGAGCGCAGTTTCTTGATCGTCAATGAATGATCAATGTAAATACTAAAAAGTTTCTCGTCATCAATGATAATTGATATTTTTTTCTCAGCACTATTTCTGTGATTGTCGCCAGTCATATTTATCTGAAAACATGATGAGCACGTTATCAATACTAATGAGTGTTTCTGACAAGTGCAGTTACATCGGTATCTAAAGCTGATAGTTACTTGTCAACCGCATTGTCAATAAGCACTCATTCACTATCAAGGCTTTAGAAAGCACGTTCTTTCAGGATATTGAGAAGTAAATAAATAAGGCGTCCTTACTTCAAAGATGCACCACAATTTTATTTTCGGACAAATTATGCACCATTCGAAGCAGAATTTTATGCTGATTCCGAATATGTATGGTTTGTCCAATAAAACCTTTTCTTCCGGGCAGAAAGTGCGAAAAACTGAAAAATTAGAAAAACCAAAAAATCGCCCTTTTCCATTGAAAACCCGGTTTATCGGTTCCATCTGGTCTAACCGCTGAAATGTTTTTTTCTTCGGAATCAGCATGAAAAACTGAATCAGAAAATGCTATTTAATCCTGAGCAAAATGAGACGTCCTCCAGCCTTCTTGGACATCTTTAGGCTGAGATAAGGCCATTTTACTTGCAACGATCCGGCTGACTCGAAATCCTTTAAGAGATTTGCTAATAACCCAGCCTAAAAAGACGCTGGAAAGCCCGGAAAGGTCTCATTTTGCTCAGAACTCGATGCGCATTCGGATGCGATGCTCGATGAAGGGTCGCAGTGTAATGACGAGGTTTATTGAGAAACCGACTCTCTGGAAACCTCTCAGAACCCTTCGCAATGCCATTATCCTTGTGAATGATGTCAGATTCGAGAGTTTATCTTTTAACCAACTAGGGTTGATAAGTTTACAATTTATAGATGTCGTATTTTTCGCCCTTTCAACTAAATGGAGCATGCATTGACCAGGTACTATGTGAACAACTGTCAAATAGCATTTTCTGATTCAATTTTCCACGCTGATTCCGAAGTAAAAACATTTCAGTCGTTAGACCAGATGGAACCGATAAAATCGGGTTTTTATTGGAAAAGGGGCGATTTTTCGGTTTTTCAGTTTTTCGCACTTTTTGACCGGAATAAAAGGTTTTTTCTGGATAAACCATACATATTCGGGATCATCATAAAATTCTGCGTCGAGTGGCGCATAATTTGTCCGAAAATAAAATTGTGGTATATCTTTGAAGTACGGACGCCTTACAAACATCTACGCGAAAGGAATCAAGGATCTAATATTTATGAAAGACATTATGAGAGAGTGAAAAATCGACTTTTTTTGCGCCATACGGATCGAGCTGAAATTTTGGGAAGTGAATAATAACTATTACTTATACATTTTCTGAAAGGACGGGGTGTAATAAGAACGAGGATCGGTCCCATTTCAGATCTTCTCGAAAGGTATCTAGAATAAAAGTGCATACACTTTTATGGGGTTCTACATCGTTGGTTCCCCTTCGGACCTCATATCTGTCAGAAAATCGATCAACTTTGAACAATAGCTCCGCAAGCCCATTCCGAGGTGTTTTTCGTAATTTTCTCAGCACACAACAAGTCTGAAGAAAAGTCCTATACACCATTCCATGTAGCTTTAAACGGCGAACAAAACTGTCTATTGCTCAATTGTTATGTACACTGCGAACACCCATGTTTTTTCCATATTACTGTTAAAAATGACCTTTTCAGCATAGCCAACAATAGTATTTCAGCTTTTTCATCGGGAAAGAACCCAGGTTGCGGTCTACATTGTATATCGAAAGAAAGCTCTTTCAAACCTCTACAAAACGGTGGGTAACTCATTTCTAGTTGGAAGTGCGAACACACAGTTTTTTGGATATTACTACTGAAGATCGATGTTTTTAAGCATAGAGACGGATAATGTTTCTGTATTTTTACCATGAAAGAACTTAGCTTGCGGTCTATATTATATATCAAAAGAAAGCTTTTTTAAAACTCTACAAAATGGCTGGTAATTCATTTCTAGTTACAAGTGCGAACGCTCAGGTTTTCGGATATTACTGCCGCAGAGTGATGTTTTCGGCATCGGCGAATAGCGTTCGATTCATATAAAAGCTACCACCATTTACATCGACCTTTGACGTCAGTGGCGAGATCTGTCTCATATTATAGAGCTCAGCAAGCTGAGCCGAATGGTGAAAACTGCAAATCTCTAGCCTTCTTAGAAAAAACGTTATAAAACTTTCCTTCGAACTAGTTGTGTACTGAGAAATTACGAAAAACACCTCGGAATGGGCTCGCGGAGCTATTGTTCAAAGTTGATCGATTTTCTGACAGATATGAGGTCCGAAGGGGAACCAACGATGTAGAATCCCATAAAAGTGTATGCGCTTTTATTCTAGATACCTTTCGAGAAGATCTGAAATGGGGCGGATCCTCGTTCTTATTGCACCCCATCCTTTCATCTTTACACATGTAATGGTGTCAAAGATAATTACTTTTATAGTTGGCGTTAAGTGGGTAGCGGTTATTCTCATTGAATGTAGCGCTTTTGAACTGCAGCAATTTTTTCGAAGAGAAGGCAGTGTCTAGCATGATCCTTGATGGTTGAAAGCGTTTTTAGAGTATGTAAGTAGGCTTCGCTTAGTTTTTTTGAGTGAAGTTTCAGTAAGTATAGTCCTCTTTTGTTGCTTAGTTGCACAAGAGAAATCACTCAAAATGGCAATTCTACACGGTATAAGCAAGAAATGAGAAAATATAGTTCAACTATATAGATCAAACGTACCGCTTACATTTTTCTTTCTTTTGATACTATCCTTTTGCATTTTTCTTTTATACACACGTCAATAGACTGTGGAACAAAGCAAGAAAAGAAAACCTTTTCTGTTATCATGGAGCTTTCTAAATGACGGTAAACAATATGAGTTTAGCCGATACTCTGTCAGTTCCACGAAGTAAAATGAATTAATTAGATATTATCCCTTTCTACTTTTTATCCAAACTGACACAATAAATGTGTGTCCTGATGAGAAGCTATTTTATAGCTTTCCAACAAAAAGACCAACAAAATTGCAATTTTTAGTGTTTGTAGCCAGAAAGAAACTTCGCTTACTTTTCTTTACTTTAATCTTATTTTCCTTCCGTCTCATATATTTTTCTGATTTTCACGTGCATATGTGTAGTTTACGTTATTTTTCTTAAAGAGAAAAATACGAAAAGGAAAAAATTGTATCGTTTTGTCGAGATGTCCATTTCTTCTATGTTCGAAAGAAACGATGAATTTATTCTATATTCCGCCAACTTCTTGAATTAAAATTAAGTTAAGTAGAAAGGATCCATCTCCACGTTTTATACTAGTTTGAAGTACACAAGTTGTACTATATATGGATGTATTTTCCAGAAAAAGATCTCTTTTAGTTTTTAAGATATGTGGCCTCAATATTGATGATTAACGTTTCAAAATTCATACTTTTTTTTTTACACTCGGGAGTTCGATAAACTCTTTTTGATCACCATGTCTTTTTCCGACTTTCTCTCTGGCTCGTAATAGTTAGATGAAGTGTTAGCGATTTACTGACCATACTTGTCTTCTCCTCTTTGTATAGCATCAACCAATAAGTCTGAAGTAAATTCGCGAAGCTGTCTGTCTTCGTTGTGGACAGATATTGGATGAAAATAGTATTTTTCCTTCCCTTGTATTTAGTTTAAGAAAAAAAGCTCATTATAAAATGGAATATTGGATAAGAGTGAATATTACAGGAATAATCTCAGAAGAATCTAATACAAAAGAAGTATTAGATCGTATTCTTCCAAAAGAATTACAGATATGTGTTGAATACAACAGAAGGAAAAATGCTATTTTCATCGAATATCTGTCCGCAAGGAAGACAGACAGCTTTATACAAAAATAATTTTTGTTTCGTCTAAATAGTATCAGAGTAGAATAAACTGTAAAAGAAAAGTTAAGAAAAAGTTAAAGAAAAGGTTGATAAAAGAATAATCTTTTGAAGCATAGCGGTTAATAGTCTTTGAACAAGTAATCAAATCAATTAGAAAAGAAAAGAAAATTCCTGTATACGTCTATATAAAAATTATTATAAAATGGAATGTTGGGTAAGAGTGAAATACAGGAATAATCTCAGAATAATCTAATATAAAAGAAATATTAGATTGTATTCTTCCAAAACAATTACAGATATCTGGTGCTTAACTGAGCAGTATTGATCAAAAAAACGCATATATCCATTACTAACAATAAAACATAGTACTGACCTACTATGATATTGTCTTGTTTAATATTTGGGAATAGTTGAGAAATGCTTAAATACTACAATACTCTATATATACAAATAAGAAGAACATTATCATACTTTTTCTTAATTATGCATTTAATCGTAAATCGTAAGGACAACTTTAATCAGGAAAATGTAAGCGGTACGTTTGATCTATATAGTTGAACTATATTTTCTCATTTCTTGCTTATACCGTGTAGAATTGCCATTTTGAGTGATTTCTCTTGTGCAACTAAGCAACAAAAGAGGACTATACTTACTGAAACTTCACTCAAAAAAACTAAGCGAAGCCTACTTACATACTCTAAAAACGCTTTCAACCATCAAGGATCATGCTAGACACTGCCTTCTCTTCGAAAAAATTGCTGCAGTTCAAAAGCGCTACATTCAATGAGAATAACCGCTACCCATTTAACGCCAACTATAAAAGTAATTATCTTTGACACCATTACATGTGTAAAGATGAAACTTTCAGAAATGTATAAGTAATAGTCACTATTC